TTCAATTTTAACAGCCCATAGCTGATAATTTTCAACCACAAAAATTAAGAGGGGAAGAAAATGGAATAGTGTTTATGGCCATTGTATTCTCTCTTTTTTTTTTTTTTGGCTCAAAGGGACAGGGCTCTGATACCAAAAAATGTTGGATTTTAGGGAAGGAGAAATCGAATGCACAAGATGATTAACAGTTTTTTAAGCACTTCATTTAATTAACAAAAGGATATGCCATTTTATAAAGGCGGTACAAGGTGAAATCAAGTCAGACCTAAAAATGATTAATCTTAATACACACAACATAATGCACTAACTAAAATTGAAATCTCAAATATTTTTTTAATAATATTAATTTTGAATTAATCGCTAACAATGGATCCTTAATTTTTTATTATTAACATAAATAATAAATTTAATTTTGGATTGGTTTTATTAATTTTCTAATTTAAATCTAAATTTTTTGGAATAGGCTAAAAAAATCATTATTGTCTAAATAAAATATATATTAAATATGGTAAGTACGTAACATCTTTTAAAGATTTTAATTTTATTGGATGAAAAAATAGATGTAATTTAATTTTAGAGAAAATTACTGTTAGGTCCCTATACAAATTTTAAATATATTAGTTAGGACCTACTTTTTTTTAAAATACATGAATATATCTTTAATTTTTGTTCCCATCTAACCATTTAGTCCATCTATGAATTTTAAGAGATTTTTTCCATTATTTTGTGTTAAAGATACAAGAAAAACCCTTCATCTTATTTTAAGCCTTGTAACTAACATTTTTGTAAAAATGGAGAGACAATGAGGAGAGAGAACAATGAGGAAGAGAAATAACAAAACTCATTTTCACTTCTAAAAAAGAAAAAGAAAGAAATAATAAGATAATCCACCCGCTCCATCACTCATGCCTGCCATGACCTCTTTTCCTCCAAATTTTAATCTTAAGAGTCCTCATTTTCATTTCTCCTTCCTAAAAAACACAAAAATTTCCTTTCCTTCTATCTGGGACTTCACATTGCCCATTATTCCTAACTCTTTGTTTGATAATGGTAAACACAGAAAGGTGAGGTTTAACAAACTTTTGTTAATAAAGTTGGATTTTGGATGATGAAAACAAGACTAGAATGAGTGATATACACTGACTTAAATGGCAAAAGCTTGTTGAAATATAGTAGCTGAGATGCAATATCCAAAGAATCATAAATAGTGAAGAAATAACAACAATTCAACAGATCCACAACACCAGCTCAACCCAAAGTGTAAATTCGACATCATACTATTCCACGATTATTTTTACTTTAAATCAAACAAATAATGAACAGAAAAGATAAAGAGCATATGCATGTCAATCGCCGATACCTAAGTTACAACCGACAACTTATTTAATTCATATTAATACCTAAGTTATTTTGATGGGTTTGAGATCGGACATAGTTTTGTTCATTTATTGGAGGAGAATGAGAAATTAAGAGTGGAATAAAAATTTTTTTTACCTTTGGTAGGGAAGACAGGTTTTCTGAATTAGAAATGATGAAGGAGAATGGGTTGCTAAAGCAATTTATGTACAGAGGGTGTTGATAACAAAATTGGGATTTGGAGGAGTAAATTTTAGTTTATAAAAGAATCTCTCTCCCTTTGACTGTGAGTTGACTCAATGGTAAAACAATAAAAATTGAACGAAAGGAACTAAAATGAATTGGACGGAAATAAAAAGTTAGGGAGACGTAATAATATAATTTTGAAAAAGCAAAGGTCGCTGAAGTAACGTTTTTAACCATTATACCATGGACGAAAAATAATTTTTCCTTAATTTTAAATTGAGACTATAAATGAGATTATTGATAGCATGTTAATATGTGTAGTTTATATAATAATATCCATGCATGTATTTCATATCTATAATTATGCAAACACTAATTAGTGAAGGTTGATTTGGTCCGGAAACTTCTTGGTGGTGAATTATATAAACGACGGAATGGGAATGAGATTTGTGAAATTGCTTGACGGATGAGCTTTTAGAATTTATTATTAAATTAGGGTTTCCAAGCAAGTGGTTAATCCAGTCTTTTTAGGGGAAGGTTCGACGAAAATTTCGATAGAATCTAGATTAATTATACTTGTTAAATAGGTTGTTGGAATTATTTAGGATAATTCTTTATTATTATTTAGGGCATGCTTTATTTCATTCTTTTCTCTCCTTCTACATACATTTTGTTAGAAATCACTCTAGTTCGTTCAATGCTCCCAAAAAAATCAAAATTAGAAATTTAAAAGTATTTTCTCATCTAATGATTGTGAAATAATAATAACTAGCATATACCATTTGCATCATACATGAATGCATTATTATATAACGCTTTGTCTATTTTATTTAATTTTCCAAGGACCAATTTTAATTTATTAGCATTTAATTTACTTATAATATTTATTTATATATATTTATATGTCTATTTGTATTTACATATGATTGTCTATTTGTGCACTTGCATTATAATGTTTAATGGTTTGATGCACATGCATTTAATTGTACTACTTGATTACATGTAATATGATAATGATGTGCTTTGTTTGTATGGAATTGGATAAAGTGGATCACCTTGGGTTTGTGAGAGCGGACTATGATACCGTCGGGCATGTATGGGGAGATCGGTGCCCCCGTATGCATCTGATGATATATAATATATGGAAAACCATAGGGTGGCTTCCTAATGGTGATGGAAAAGAAAAAAGAGAATGGAAAAATAATGAGAGGACTGGTCAAATGAGGCTTAGATTGGTCGGCCATATATGGGGATGGGATTCCTGGTGCACAAAATATGAGAGGATGGGCCATGTGAGAGGACGGCTCGCTGGGGGTTGTGGTGACCTACAGACCAATCTCCACTTGTTTGATTATGTGAAGAAAACATTATTTGTGGCTGTTGTTGATGTGATATATGTGTGTTTAAATGAATGTTCACTTTTAGAATATCTCGGAGCATTTTGTGTGATTGTATGAGCATGTAATTATTATTCACTAAGTTGAAGCTCTCACTTGCGCTTCACTTCAATTTTTTTTTCAAGAAACCTTGTTACTGAACCTTGGTACTGCCTCTATATGAGCCAGAAGCATTGTATCCTTTCCTCTACAAAGCTAGATAGACTAAAGTTTAGTTGAATTATAGGCTCTTCTTAATTGAATTTTCTTATTATTGTATAATTTGTAGAGATTGCAATTATATAGAAATATTGTGTTTGTAAAAGTTTCTAAGATGAGTAAACTGCATTTGAGCAAACATGAACCTGTGAATGTTGCATGTGTTACATATTTGATTGGAAGACCCATTGACTATAGGTGTTAAGCTACAGGTGTTAAGCTTGTAAGATTATGAAAATTAATGGGATATATATGTACTTGTAGTTGAGCTAGGTTCGGGATAGATGTTTAATTGAGCGATTGTATTGGGCTTGCCAGGTAAATATTTACAATGGCCTTTAACAAATAACTATTAATGTATTAGGCTCACTACATGTCTCGGTGACCTTAACCTTATCAGGGCTCTAGTGTCAGTCCACCCAATAGTTTCGGGTCGTGACAAAACCATATAACACGTTGGAAGAGTTTTTTTCGAAAAAATTCATAAAATTAATTATATGCTCATAGACTTTAGCAAAAAGCATAGACTTTACAAAAAGAAAAAAAAAAAAAAAGGAAAATTTTCAAAAATTATAATGATAATATATAATATATAATATATTATAAATGATAAATGATAATATATATATATATTAATAATATATATATAGTATTCTATAATGGATATTTAAAGCATAAGAACCCAAGTCAAGCTAATCCTCTTCGAAAAATATTTCCCACATTTCACTATATTTTATTTATCTAACAGATTTTTAAATAACTTATTGCTTTATGGTTTGACCATATAAAATATGTTTTTTTAGTATATGTGAAAGTCGAATCAGGCCTATTATAGGGCGGAATGAGCATATGGTTTCAAAAAAATTTAATTAATAAAAATTTAATTAATATATTTTTAAAACATGAGAAAAAAAATTTAATTAATATATTTTTAAAACATGAGAAAATGAAAATGACGCAAACGGAGACAATACAAAGAAAGATAAACAATAAAAACGAGATAATATAAAAAGAAAATTAACTATAAAATGGGAATAAGATAGAAATGAAAATTTGATATCTCATTCATTCTCTTTAACATAATCCGCAACCCGAGCAAAATTATAAGCATTACAAGGATGCATGCCTATAATCCACCACTCAAGAATACAAAGGGTGCATCTCTGCATAAAGCATATTTTTATTAACAAACTATTAATTATTGTTATTCAAAGGATATGGTTCAAGACTTTTTTATCTTAACATCCAGCCGGGGACAACTTTCCTGTGATTGTTGGCTTAACATTGGTGCATTCAGATTTTGCAGGGCCTTCACTTCCGGAGTATACGCCCTTCACTTCCGGAGTATACAAGTCGATATCAGCAAGTTCTACTTTTTTCACATGGGAGGCCATTACTTGCAAGAAAGTTGAACAGCAATAGGTGTTTGTAGTAGTGCCTTTTATATTTTTGAAGGTAATTATCGCTTAATTTTTTTACTTTTTGATGGTGCGTCCCCCTAGAAAACAATAAGAAAAAGAAGAAACAAACTTTAGTGGATCTTTTATATGGCATTATAATTCATAGTATGTGAGTTTTATTTTTCCTAGATTGAAGAGTACCTTGCTCGGGCACTGAAATCGTAAGGGCAATACATTTGATCTATAAGGACAGGATTCTGACATCATTCATCTACAATATCCTCAAAATGAATATTGATTGCTATCGCGCAAGGTTCCATTCCAAGGCCAAGATTTAATTCTCACTCCCATATCGTACCTGCGATTGTGCAAATTTTAACGTTGACCCCAACAAACAAGGTTCTTCATTTTTTAATACCTCCTAAACTTCCTATCGCTGATGCCATGGGCCAGGTCCCGCATATTACTTTTTGCCATGGCCAGGTCCGCATGTTACTTTTTCAATTTTCAGATCTGTTGTCCCATCACCAATAGAGATGCAATCATCACCCGTACCAATGTTTGTGTCAATTATAGTGACCTCTTTCGATCGTCCTACATGTATTCCATCGGTGTTGATCGAAGTTCCAGGTGCGTCTATTTTAAACCTTTCAAATGTGAGTTTTTCGCATCCAATGACATTTACGTGAAAATTCTTGCTATTAAGCGAAGTCACGTCCTTCACAACGCTGTTGGTGATGCAATTTAGCATTAACGACTGATAAAAATTTCAAGCAATGAGAATCCCGTTAAATATGTTATGGTGCATAGATTTTCTAAAATTGTTAGTTAAATTGTATTAGATAATACGAAAAGGAATATACCATAGGAGGTGCTTCTCCGCCATTTTTACAATCATTTGCCTTCCATGCAGCTTCTCCCTGACCATCAAAAGTACCTCCTCCGCATATTGTGAGTTGATCTACATGATCAATGATACGATGATGGTGATCCAACCTTCTCCTTTGATTGCTTTCGGGTCTGCCGGAGCCTTCAAGGTTCCTTGAAGTTCGATTTCCATTGCTCCTTTGCAAGGACCCTCCAACTTCACTATGCCCATCAAGAATGTTCCCTTCGGAATCAAAACTTTGCTTGATCCTGCCGCACATGCCTCTTTCCAAGCAGACATTACAGCCTAGGATTGGAAAAAAAAAGGAAAAAAGATTAGCGTGATTTTTTAAGGATCAAATACTAAGGAAATACAGTTGTATCCCAGGATGAAACGCTTGCTCATACTTCGCAACAATCTGTTTTCTCGTCAGCTTGAGCACCATATTTGGTTATATCAAAGACAGCTTGTGCTTCAACTGTAGAAAGGAATAGTAACAATAGGGACATTGCTGAGATAATTTTTTTTGAATCTGCTGAGATAATTTTTTTGATCCATTATTTTTATGGAACATTTTTCTTTTTTTCTCTCTCTTTTTTTTTTTTTTTTTTTTTTTCTCTATACGGGAAACAAAAGGCGAAGCAAAATTTAAAGAACTACTACACAATCCTTCATTTGAAAATTAAACTGACGTGATTTAAGCTTTTATAGAACATAAAAATAACTAAGTTTTAACTGAAATGCTATAGAAAATTGCCTATATTATTTTCGAGATACTTTTATTTTTTCTTCTGACTTTTCTATTTTGAAGCATAATATGTTTTTTTAGTTAAACATAGCATTCGTAGGAGGAATCCTAACCAAAGCCATGTTCCACACCATCCCTTATTTCGCCTTAAGCTAAATATTCAAATATAAATGATATCTTAAATATTTATTATAATAAACATTTTCTGCCTTTTATTCAATTATATTTAAATAATTTCAACTTATACTTGAAAGTGTTTTCAAAATACATAGGGTGTCTCGTCATGTTGGACTTATTCGCAACAAAAAAAATAGTGAAATTAAAATTGAGTTTAAATTGAGTTGAAAATTAAAAATTGAGTATAAGAACAATATTTGGTGTTATAAGAACAATATTTGGTCCTCCATTACAAAATTCAATCACAATGTTTGGATCTTAAATATTTATTATAATAACATTTCTCCTTTATTCAATTATATTAATAATTCACTTATACTTGAAGTGTTTTCAAATACATAGGTGTCGTCATGTGACTTATTCGCAACAAAAATAGTGAAATTAAAATTGAGTTTGAAATTCTTCATAAATAATAGAATAAAAATACTACTTTTGTTATAAGAACAATATTTGGACATGCATTACGATTATCATAAACATAAAATTTAGAAGGAACAATAAAAAGTTCCTTCTGAGAGAGTTGTTCTCTGGTTAGTTATAAAGAGTATTAAACATAAAATATTGGGCCTATCGTTACTCAATGTTAGGACCCAGCAATAAAATTACGAGAATAATAAAACAGCGGAAAAATAAAAATATGACACAGATATTTACGTGGTTCACCCTTTAACTGTTAGAGCTATGTCCACGGGACAAAAAACCGAATAATTCTTCCACTATTAAAAATAGTAGGCTTACAAAGAGAGTAATACAAAATAGTAGCACTCAAAGTATTTCCCAAATTATCCTCACTATTCTCTCTACCCGAGTTTTAGAACCCAATTCTAAAACGCAAATTCTCTCAAACACTCTCTTCTGTCGCTCGGTTGTCTTTGATTTAATTCCAATTCATTGGATACTAATTTGCACTTTTATGAAGAGATGATGCTGATAACCAAAAATCGTCGTACATATGGATTCTCTGGGGAGATTCTTAAAACTCGCTTTTATTTTCATATCACGTAATTACCCAAAGGGGCAAACCACAATGATTATATTAAACCTAGGTAGAATGACGATCAGTAGGCTAATGGGTAGTCTACTTCTAAAGGCTATCTTAAAAAGTAGGGCTTGGCCGTGGATGGATAATCCCAAGAGAACAAATATCATACTGAGTTTGGGTCTTACAATTTGTATTTACAGTCGATTTTTGTTCTTGTTTTAAAGGTGGGTGCAAATCTCACGAGGGCAATGGAGTCCATAATGGGTGAACATAACACCCTTAGGAAAATTCCATATCGGATAATTAAGTAAAATGGGCAAGTGATGTAGATAAATGGAAATAGATTAAGGTTCTTTATCAAATTCCCAAAACCAATCCAAACAGACAAAAATTGAGCCAAAACCACAGTTTTAAAAATTGATGATTTTGTTTTACTTTGTGAAATTTAAAAATCGATCTTTTGGTTCGGTTTACAGATTTGGGGCCAAAACTGCCCAAATCTAAAATTATATATTGATTAACAAATTTACACTTCTTTTTACATATCTTCTTATTTCTTTTTTCCTTGTTCTTGCAAAATTTTTCCATCAAGTAGCATGTCACAATATCCTAATTTTATTTATGCTATTCAATGACGGCATAGATCGTTATTATTGTGATTATGTGTTAACTTTGGCTTTCATGGTAATCTTTCGGCCTTTTTCATGGTAATTCTTTCATTCTGTATTTAACCTTGGCAAGACTGTTGTGCGGTTGCCGCACTCAAGTGGGACCCACAATTGACAGCTTATTTCTTCGAAGTGTAAACGAAATCGCTACAAGTAATCTAGAGTGAGTAAGAGGTATAGTATCCACGAGGGATTGTATACCAAGTACCATTATGTTTATCTTGATTATTAATTTAAACGATAAATGAGGAAAATTTGTTTTATAGAAATTAAAATTAACCAAGTAAAAATAAGATTGCAGCAATTATTGATTAAAGAAATCAAGAAGTAAAACTACTAGGGGTTTTGATATCACTTTAACCTCTAATCCCCATTTTATTTCATTAGTTCATATGATCAATTTAATTAATTCAAGTAGGGGAAACACCAAAAATCCCATTAACAAGCTCTCCCGATGTAATTGTTAGCTAATTTTAAAAAACCCGGTTCTAATGTACCATAATCTTCTAATAGCGCAATAAACATGAATTAAATCATTTAAGTTTATGGTTTGTTTTGGTGAAATACATAACCTAAGGTCATTAACTTAATGAAAACCCCCAATGAGTCAATACCGTATGGCTTCCGCATCAGGTTATTATTCTCAAAAATGTTGTTTTATTAACCTTTTCATATCAAAGATCCTTCTTCCGATAGTGATAATTAAATAAATCAATCTAGGGGAAAAATTCTGCCTAGAAGCATTAAGTTCATTAATAAATCAATAACTTGAATAAGGAAAAAATAAATCGTATTTGCAGACTATTCGGGAAAAGAAGATTTAAAGCTACATCAAACCCCTAGTATAAGAGGTTTTTAGTTACACCATAGTACTTAAATAAAAACTCAAACAATACTTGATAAATATTCCATAATAAGTAAAGATAAATGAAAAAAAATAACAAGATTAAAGAGTTTAGAATAAGAACTAGTGAAATGAAATTGGCTTTGGAGTGGCTTCCTTGAAACTTGCACAACTCTTGAATACTTAACTTCTAAAGAAAATAAAACTATGGTACAAGACTATAAATGAGAGAAAGAAAGAGGTGGAGTGTAGTGGGTGAGATAGATGGATCTTTGGAGTGGCCCTTCCTTTTCCTTATATAGACTTCTTGGGGGAAAACAAGTGCCTTGTGCTTTAATGAGGTAAAGTCCAACTTTGTGAGGTGGAAAGTTTATAAATCAAGGCCAATAAATTTGGCTCTCAATTATGTTTCTCAATTTGCACATGGTTTGAACTTTGAACTGGCCAAAATGTGAAGAGAAGAGTATCCAAAGTGTTTTGTGAAAAGGTAGGAATTAAGTTGCACTTGACCTCAAATATTGATTTCTTAGCTTGGCACGGGCGTGCACCTTGTAAGCACACGGGCTGGGCGTCGCACTCCTGCTGGAATTATAGTCTGAATTGCAGATTACAGC